CATGACTGACAAAAAAACAAAAAAGGAAAACAAAACATTGCCCCATACTGAACATAGTGATTTGTGCCTGTAATCCCAGCTATTCTGGAAGTAGAAATTAGATTGAGATTTGAGGTCAACATGGGAAAAATGGCCAGGGACACCTCATTTCAACCAACCACCGGGTATGGTCATGCATGGTGGTCATCCCAACTGTATGAAAATTAAATAGGATCGGAGCTATGTGTGGTCTGTGGCTCACGTCTGTCATCCTAGCTACACAGGAGGCTGAGATCTGAGGATTGTGCTTTGAATCCAGCCTGGTCAGAAAAGTCCATGAGACTTTTTTTTTTTTCCTTCCAGAAAGCCAGAAAGTGGCACTGTGGCTCAAAGTGGTAGAGTGCTCACCTTGAGGAGGAGGAGGGGGATGGACTTAGGGACAGCACCCAGGCGCTGAGTTCAAGCCCCACAACCACAATAAAATAGGATTGAGGATCATACAAGACCAGGTAAAAAAGAAACATGGAGTATTATCCAAAAATACCTACAGGACGGGAGGTATGGCTCCTCCAGTGATAAAGAATGTCTGCCTAGCAAAGGAGAAGCCCTGAGTTCAAATCCCCAGGACTGTGGGAAAAATAGAGATGTTTCCCATCATCGATGGAGGCAAAGCAGCAGAATGTGCTGGGCATTGCCTGGCTAGTCAGACTGGGAGAGGGACAGCATTTACTTTGCATTGGCCCGCAGGCCAATGTGTGTGCTTGTAGACAGCGAGACTCTGAAATGCCTGAACCGCAGGGCCGCCTTGGTGTCTCCCCAAGTCCTTATCTGGGGAGCACCCATGGCCTTAAGGGTTAGACGCAGCCTGGAATGAGGGCAGTGGGTGGTAATGAGCAGGATAGGGCGCTATCGGCGGCAGGGATCTGCCAGGCTCAGGTCAGCAGGTGGCACGCAGCCCTAGGCTCTGCGTGTTCAAGAACAGAGGCCCGGCACCAGTGTGGTTCTTGCCTGCAATCCTAGCTACTCAGGAGGCTGAGATCTGAGGATCACGGTTCAAAGCCAGCCTGGGTAGGAAAGTCCGTGAGGCTCCTATATCCAATAAACCACCAGAAAACCGGAAGTGGCGCTGTGGCTTAAGGGGTAGAGCGCTTGCCTTGAGCTGAAGAGCAGAGGAGAGTGCCCAGGCCCAGAGTTCAAGTCCCATGCCTGGGGCGGGGGGGGGGGGGGGGGGAACTAAACAAAAAAGGGCTAGGGGTCATAATTTAAGTAGTAGAGTTTATGATTGTGAAGTACTGAGTTCAAGTCCCACTACCACAGAGAGAGAGAATGGGGGGGGGCGATCAGATTTTCAAATCCAAGGTATGTCTCTCATTTTATTTGAGAGAAATACTGAGTTTTCTTGGCTATTATTATTTTTTATTTATTTTCTTTGTCGGTCGTGGGGCTTGAACTCTGGGCCTGGGCGCTGTCCCTCAGCTTTTTAGCTCAAGGTGAGCGCTCTACCACTTGAGCCACAGCACCACTTCCAGTTTTCTGGTGGTTCATTGGAGATGAGTCTCCAAGGACTTTCCTGCTGGGGCTGGCCTTGAGCTTCAATCCTCAGATCTCAGCCTTCTGAGTAGCTGGGATTACAGGCGTGAGCCACCCGTGCTCGGCAATTATTTTTAAATTTATTTTGTGGTTTGAGACAAGGTCTCCCCATGCTACACAGCCTAGGCTGACCTGCAATTCTCTGTAGTCCCAACCAGCCAAGCACTCGCGATCCCTCGCCTTGATGTCCCTGGGTGCTGAGGAGACAGGCGGGTGCTACCATGCCCAGCTTCGTATCTGCGGCTTTGAAAGGTGACATGGCTCAGGATTTCTTGCAACTTGTGGAACCAGTAGCCCTGCCTCTAGCTAGCTAGCTCCAAGACTCCAGGAGGAAGGGGAACGTGTAGCCGGGTGCTGGTACACATGTCTGTAATCCTAGCTACTCAGGAGGCTGAGATCTGAGGGTTGTATTTCAAAACCCACCAGGAAGCCAGGTGCTGGTGGCTCATAGCTGTCATCCTAGCTACTCAGGAGGCTGAGATCTGAGGATCGAGGCTCTCAAAGCCAGTCCTGGCATCCGTGAGACTCTTAACCTCCAAGAAAAACCACTAGAAAACCGGAAGTGGTGCTGTGGCTCAAGCGGCAGAGCGCTCACCTTGAGCTAGAGAGCACAGGGACAACGCCCAAGCCCAGAGTTCAAGTCCCACAACCGACAGGAAAAAATAAATACATTTTAAAGTGAATTGACCTTTTGGGTTACCCCATTTGTAAAGTGGGGGCGAGGGTACATCTGATTTCACAGCCAATGAGTCACAGAGCTGGAACTGAAGCCTCTACCATCCATGATTGGCATCTTAACCCAGCAGGGCGCTGGTGGCTCACGCCTGTAATCCTAGCTACTCAAGAGGCTGAGATCTGACAATCATGGTTCAATGCCAGCCTGGGCAGAAAAGTCCCCGTGAGACTTTTTTTTTTTTGGTCGGTTGTGAGGCTTGAACTCTGGGCCTGGGTGCTGTCCCTGTGCTCTTCAGCTCAAGGCTGGTGCCCTACCGCTTGAGCCACAGCGCCACCTCTGGTTTTCTAGTGGTTTATTGGAGATAAGAGTCTCACGGACTTTCCTGCCTGGGCTGACTTTGAACTGTGATCCTCAGATCTCAGCCTCCTGAGTAGCTAGGATTACAGGCGTGAACCACCAGCACCCGGCCCCGTGAGACTTGTTTTCCAATCAACTGCTCAAAAAACCAGAAGTGGTGCTGTGGCTCATGTGGTAGAGCACTAGTCTTGAGCATAAGGAGGCTAAGAGACAGCACCCAGGCCCTGAGTTCAAGCCCCTCGACTGACAAAGAAAACAGTCCCAACGCTGCAGTCATAGTTCTAACCTATTATCTGTCTGTCTGTCTGTCTGTCCTGTCTTGCAGTTCTAACAGCCTCATGGCCCCAGCCGGCCACTGAGACCATGGGCAGCTACTATTCTGAATACCTCAATCCCAACAAAGTGGTGGACCATTACAACTACACCAAAGAGACGCTGGACACGCAGGAGACGCCGTCCCGCCAGGTAGCCTCCGCCTTCATCATCGTCCTCTGCTGCGCCATCGTGGTGGAGAATCTGTTGGTCCTCATCGCCGTGGCCCGCAACAGCAAGTTCCATTCGGCCATGTATTTGTTCCTGGGGAATCTGGCCGCCTCCGACCTCCTGGCCGGGGTGGCGTTTGTGGCTAACACCTTGCTCTCGGGTCCCGTCACCCTGTGGCTGACGCCCGTCCAGTGGTTCGCCCGGGAGGGCTCTGCTTTCATCACGCTGTCGGCGTCCGTCTTCAGCCTGCTGGCGATCGCCATCGAGCGACACGTGGCCATCGCCAAGGTCAAGGTGTACGGCAGCGACAAGAGCTGCCGGATGCTGTTGCTCATCGGGGCATCGTGGCTCATCTCGCTCATCCTGGGGGGCTTGCCCATCCTCGGCTGGAACTGTCTGGGCCACCTGGAGGCCTGTTCCACGGTGCTGCCCCTCTATGCGAAGCCTTACGTGCTGTGTGTGGTCACGATCTTCTCCGTGATCTTGCTGGCCATCGTGGCCTTGTACATTCGCATCTATTGCGTGGTCCGGTCCAGCCACGCGGACGTGGCTGGTCCTCAGACCCTGGCTTTGCTCAAGACGGTCACCATCGTGCTGGGTGTGTTCATCGTCTGCTGGCTGCCCGCCTTTAGTATCCTCCTTTTGGATTATGCCTGCCCCGTGCGCGCCTGTCCCGTCCTCTACAAAGCCCACTATTTCTTTGCCTTCGCCACCCTCAACTCCCTGCTCAACCCGGTCATCTATACCTGGCGCAGCCGGGATCTTCGGCGGGAGGTGCTGCGTCCTTTCCAGTGCTGGCGTCGGGCCACGGGGGTCACAGGACGCCGAGGGGGGACCCCGGGCCATCGCCTGCTTCCCTTACGCAGCTCCAGCTCTCTGGAGAGAGCAATGCACGCGCCCACGTCCCCCACGTTCTTCGAAAGCAACACTGTGGTCTGACCGATGCTCAGGCCACAGCGGGTCACCACCAACACGCCTATTCCGGGGAACGAGGTGTGTGTGTGTGGGGGGCTGTTCAGCCAGAAGCCCCCTCTCCCCCCAATTCTGCAGAACTGGGTGAGAAGGAACAGCACTCGTCCACAGCCTGGGGCGACTTTTGGAAGCCACCGGCCAGTCCCAAGGCAAGGACGAGACCGTGTGAGACTCAAAATGACCAGGGTGATGCCGGGTGTCGGTGCTCACGCCTGTAATCCCGGCTACTCAGGAGGGCTGAAGATCGGAGTTTGTGAGACTCTGAATCTAACTCCAATGAACCACCAAAGAGCGAGACGTGGCGCTGTGGCTCGAAGCGGTAGAGCACTTAGCCAAGTCTAGGGTGACGAGGGCTAAGCAGATATAGTTCCCCACTGATTAAAAAAAAAAAAGGATTTCACCATCTTCCTGCCTGACGGTCTCCCCGCCCCCAGCTCCCTTCTAGAAATGTCTCTGAATCACCTGAGGCAGGCGTCCGGAGCTGCTTTCTTGCTTCCTGAGCCCGGATCCTCTGTCTGCCCAGTCTCCTCCTCCTCGCCAGCCTCCTCCTCCCCTTTCCTCTCCAATGCCAATCATGGGGGGGGCGGCGCTTGGGGGGTGACTGAGCCCCATTCCCCATTCTCAGACCAGACAATTGCACTATTGGGGTGCAGAGGAATTGCCAAAGACTGGAAAAACCTGCTTGGGGAAAGGCTTTGGGCCTCTTCGAAGAGCGAGGGAATACTTGAGAATGTTCCTGGGGGGGGGGACGATGTAGCAGCAGCTCACACAATTTTTATACTTTCCTCCCCAGCCGAGGGTCCCGCAAGCAGAGAAGCCTCGAACCCACCAAGCCACCCTGTAGGCTGTTTTAAAACACAGCATGGGAGAGGGGTGCACAAGGAATGGGCCTTTGTTCCCCCACAAAGACTCTGCAAGCCCGCACCCACCACCGTGCCTCACACCTGGAATCCCAGCCATTCGGGAGGCTGAGGTCTGAGGATCCAGGTTCAAAGCCAGCCTGGGCAGGAAAGTCCATAAGACTTATCTTTAATGAACTAGCAGAGCAAACATAAAAGCCAGAAATAGAGTTGTGGCTCCAGTGGTAGTGCGCTAGCTTTGAGTACAAAAGCTCAGGGACAGCGCTCAGGACCTGAGTTCAAGCCCCAGGACTGGCACAATTAAAAAAAAAAAAAAGACTTTGCAAAACATCTTGTGGATAAATTGTAGGGCAATTACGGTACAAACTATTTATGTGTCTGTGTGCGGTGTGTGCTGGTCCCCCTCTTCCTGCCCTCCCCGCCCCGTCAATGTTCCGTGTTTCTATGTGTGTGTGTGTGTGCGTCCACGCTGAGTAACTTCTTGTGAATGCAAAGGCTGGGGGGGGCTTTGGGGGTGCAAGGAGCCAATTGGGAGCTCAGCTCCCCTCAAACAGCTTCCCAGATGTCACCCCTCAGCCCCACCTTGGAGACCCAGAGCCGGCCTAATAAA